AATAACACATTTAGGTCAAAACTAAGAAAAGCCCACTAAGAAGGCCATCAGCAGCCCAGCCGTCCGCCAGCCGAGCCGAGCCGCGCGAGCCTTACCCCCCGCCGCCACGTGTCGCCGTCTGGTGCGTCACAAGTTCGTGGGACCCAGTTGTCCCCGCTCATACGCGCGTTTGGCGCGTACAGCCCTCTCACCCGGGCGAGTTCTTCTCACGCGTGCGTCACCCAGTTCCCTTTCTTCTCCGCATGGGTCCCGCGTACTGCAACTCTCCTTCCACAGGTCGCCATGTGTCCAAAGTTGTCGGCCACTTTGCTTCTCTGCAAATCAGCGCGCGCCACGCTTCAAGTCTTCCTCCGCGTGGGCCCAGCTGTGCAGCACTTCTTCCCTGTCCGTGAATCCACTTGCGCCACGTGTCCATATGGGACCCAGATGTCGGCCACTTACTCCTTTCAGCCTCTCGTCGCGCGACACGTGTGCCACCCGTTGGGATTCTTCAGCCAGATGCATTTGTGTCCGTTTTGATGGTTTTTCTCCCCCATTATCAGCCTTTACTTCCAAAATAAAGCATTGTAAAACCCAAATTAATTAGAAAACATCCATCTTCTTCTTGTTGTTGATTGTAACGTTTTTCCATGCCCAAAACTCTATAAATAGGGCTTTTGTTAAGTGTGTTAGGTTGTTGATTTTAGAGCCTAAATTCTCACACATTTTCTCTTGTTTTCTTGTTCTTATTCTCATACTTTCTTTTTAGAATTTTATGGGAATTATGTGCAAGCTAGGCTAGAGTATTTAGGTGAGGCTAGAGATGATCCTATATGGGTAGTGAACTTGTTTGGATTTTGATTCTCCAATGGTTTGTAAGTTTTACACATTTGAGTAAATAATTTTCTTTTATCATATTTCTTCCTCTTATCAATATATTTTATTGTCAACTTTTATATAAATCTAGTCAAGCTCTTTTTATGTGATTGTTGTATTATATTATATATTGACACGTATTGTTTTATGAGTAGTCTTTTACTGTAATATTGCCAATGGTATATTGTCGCTTTTAGATTTCTCATAAGATAATTTTTCCTAGTTCTAAACGTTAGAATTTTATTTACTCGAATACATTTTTAATTCATATGTTCTTCAAATATTTATTTTCCGATTGATTGTTTGGGATGTGAAACTTTCAATTGAGTTAATTTATGAATCAAAATCCAAATAGGTGAACAAAGCATATGGAGGATTCTCAATGCCTTACCACTTTTTATTATTGAATTTTCTCCATTTTAAATTGTTCAAAAAATCATCAAGAAACACTCATTTCTTTTCTTTGTTTCATTGCTTACTTTCTTAACGCTTTTTATTTGCTAGTCATTTCTTGTTCAATTTAACACCTCATCGTGGGATTGACCGTTCAATTTGTACTATAATTGACCGCTTATTTTTGTACACGTTTGGGCGTAATCAGCCGACCAAGGCTTAGTCAGGCCTTGCCACCAGGGGACCTATCACTGTGGCCTTATTACCGAGTCGTAACAGCTCTCGCATCGCTTTAAGGGCCGGGTCTCGAGACACAGGCCTTGGGACGACAGATGATACATTTAGGCAGGATGATACCAGTGCTTCCTCCTCCGGTCAGACTCATTCTCCTGAGAGTGCAGCCACACGGGTATGTCTCATTTGCATTTTTTCTTCATCTCCCCTTGTTTCTTTTTTCTTTTTTTTTGTGGGCACTCACGTGAATGTACACCTACTTGTCTGTTTTGACTTGTCTCCCCTTCCCATTCATTCTGGCAGAAACCTACTTCTGCGAGGGAAATTCTTGCGGCCAGGGCTGGAAAATCAATAAATGCCCACTCGTCTGGCAGAATCTTTGTCACCCTCGCCCGTGTTGTTGGTAGGGATAAGCGACAGCCCGCAGGTGCACCTTCTTTTACAGAACCAAAGAGGATTTGTCCGATGCCCCCAAAGAGTCCCGATAAAAAACCTTCACCAGTCCTGGAGCCGCTCGGTAAGAATCTGCGCTTCTCAACAACCATCGATGCTTTAAGGGACAGTCTTAAGGAAGGCAGCCTCAACTCTGAGGAAAGTGACGGCAACGCTGTCGTCCCTGATGGGCCGGCTCCCACAGGCAACAAGACGGCCTCACCAGTACGTATTCATGCACTCACCTTGCTTTTCCCCTTTTCTCTTTTTTTTGTCCTTTTAGGCTTTTGTATGTTATAGACCTATTTCATCACAGTCTTGTACTGTTGAAGCATAAATTCCTGCTCTCGTGCCAAATGAAAAGGTGCATTCTAGCTTCGGCTATTTCCTTGTTGCTTCCAGAAAATCTTTGAGGTGGCCTTTACACGTTCCCATGTCTCTTCTCTCTTTGTTTCCTTCCCTTCTTTTCTTTTCAGGCTTCTCAAGACCACGCAGATAAGGGGGCAAGGAACACCCCCTCTAGTTCCTCTCTTGGGGAAGAACTTCTCGGCAGCCAGGTAACCCCTTTTATATTCACCCCCTTTTTTTAACTAGTAGTTACAGAACTCTTTGATAAGTATAAAGCTCAGCGTGAACTGTTGCAGCTCCAGGGTGGAACAAACGACAAACGTCCCACTTCTCCCACCGTCATTTCTCTCATAGAAGGGGTATCGGCCACTGAGGTAGAGGGATTGTCAACCGAGCAGCGCCCCCCCCCACACACACACACACACACACCCACACCCTTTTTCACCGTAGACATTCGACACAAACCATAAGTATATAAGCCATAAGATTGTCAACGAAATAACCATCATCATCCCGATGTGAACCATAAGTCATAATCCATAGGGTACGCTTCTTGCGTAACTCAACCCGAGGTACCCTGAACTTTAAAAACTCACTTTGCTCCATGAACTTTCAATTTCTCCCACTTAACCTCTTCTTTTGTAATTTATGTTAAAATCAGACAAATAATGTGGGAGTTTAAGTGTGGTTATGTGGTTTTTATCTGTTTGTTTTTAACAGAAATTTAAACAGAAAGATCACGTGACTGCATTACTCTCTTTTTTGTATATGTTTTTAATATAAATTACAAAAGAATGGGTTAAGTGGGAACAATTTAAAGGTGGGCACAACTGGGGTCGGGGTCGGGCCGACATAGACTCATATAAGAGCCTAATTACAATACAATACATTTAAAAGTTACATTTTGACACTAAAATTTTTAAAATTTTTACATTTAATTTAATTCTTTGTACAATACGTGATGACACCAAGTACCATATTATATTATGATAATATAACACAATACAGTACACATTGTATAATACAATACTATACAAGCTATCAAACATGGCCATAATATATAATTCTTGAAAAAAAAATCCAACTTTAAAAAAAAGAAGAATTAAAACTGTAATTTTGCTTTTCATAAATAAAGGTAACAATTCCCTAAAAAAAAAAAAAAAAAAGAAAACAATGAAAATTGAATTTGTAAACTTGGATGTTGCGATCTTAAAAAGAAAGTTAATAACAAACAAAAAGGGAGACGTGGGTGAGAGACAGTTTTTTTTTTTTTTATTTGTGCGTGTGAATCGTGGGTGCATGAGAGAGTGTGAAAGGTTAAAGAGAGTTGTGACACTATTATAAATAAATATGTTTGAAACAAATGCCTTGTTATCTAGTGCGTTTGTTAGATAAAATCAAGATGACAATTGTTAAAAGATAGCATCTTAAATCTGTATTTAGCATGCTTATTGTTTGAAATATGATTTTGTCTTCCACTTGGCGGTTCTCAGTTAACAGTACTGCTCTTTAAATACTTTTATTTGTTTCGTAGTTTTTATTTTCATTTTTAGTATTTTTTATGGTTTAAATTATTAAGACTTTTTCTTTATACAAATTTTTTGTCTTCTATAAAAAAAAAAGCAACTATACGGATTAGTATTTGTTCTTTTCATTAATGACAGTACAACATCCTAAAAAAAAAAAAAAAAAAGGGCGTCAGAAAATTCTGAAAGAAAATCGTAATTATGCACTTGCTCAAAAAGAAATGGTTTTAGGAGGCGTTTGGTAGAGGAATTCGTTCTCTGATTCGAATCATGATTTGTGGTTCGTTACAGTATTTTTTTCATAAAAAATACACGTAAATAAAAAACGATTCGAATCACATAGTTTGGATCATCTAACCAAATGTTCAAGGCCTCAGGATAAACTGGTGGAACTTAATAAACTGCCTAAAAATGTGACCACTGAGTCTTAAAAAAAAAAAAAAAAAAAGGGGCATTGCCTATGTACAGTATTCGTGTTCGATAGTACTAGGGTTGCATGTGTATAAATGAATCCATTGTTATATTTGGCTGTTGTTGTTTGTCTTCTCTGTGGGGATGTTGCTTACTATATTTTTCTTTTATTTGGTTTTCCATTTTTAGTTGGATTGTACTCATTATTTTTGTTCTGTTTTTAAACATTTTTTTTAACAAAATAGCATCGGGCCGGGCTTGGTTACTTAGCGAGTATACCAACCTAGATCTCTCTTAAAAAAAAAAAAAAAAAATCCCCTTCTGACTTGAAAAATAAAAAATGAACAAACAAAGCTAAAATTAAATTAGAAGAGGCGTGGCTAAAGTTTGTTGGTTGCTGAAAAGTTTCTTTTATTATTATTTGTTTTTTCTTGATGTCATCAATGACAAGATTTCCATATTATCAATCATTGTCGCTTACCTGCCATTCCAAAAACATCCCGTGGAAAATCCACACGTTTCCTAATTAATAATGGGTTTTTTAAGTTTTTAACTTTAAGTCTTTACTTCGTTCCGGCATATTTAAATTTTTAATTTTAATTATAATGTGATGTTTTTTAAACTTTTTTTATTATAATAAAAAAAATTAAATGTTATATTTTTTAAAAATTTTTAATTATAAAAACGTAGAATTAAAAACTTAAATTAATAAAATAAATAAAATCTTAATATCCTATCATATCTAAAAGCAACGATCATGATTCAATTTAAGAATGATTACTAGTTCCATACTCAACCCTTCTTTTGTAGTGCCAAATACAGAATAGCAGGACCCTTTCTTTTCCTCGCCCTTATGATGACGGCCTAAAGCAACCACTACTGCAAACACCCCAAGAAGAAAAACGTTTTTTTTTTTTTAATATATTTTTTTATTTTTTGTTGAATTTATAGACAGAGAAACCAGAAATGTTGCCAGCTTATTTATCCAGGCTTGTGCTTATATTGTTGAGTTTTCATGGCCAAGAGGTTCTTGCCTTTGCCACTGCATCTGATCACGGTACGTACGGACATGTTAATACCGATACTCCAAATTCTTCCTAATTGCTATTCTAGTATTCTAAATCATTTTCCTTGGAAAGTGTTAAGAATCACTAAATATAGTTGGAGGCTAAGCATAAGAGAGTTTTTAATTGGGGTGCCAATTTAGTTGGAATGAGCTTATTTCTCTTGATACTAGTTGTTTTTTCTCTTTTTATTTTTTGTTTTAAAAACTTAAGCACACACACATATAAAAATATATATATATATCATTAACTAATTACTTAATAAAATATCTAATAACCTTCATGCTCTGTTGGTTGAGATGATATTAAACTAGAGGGAAAACAAATGGTTGACGGATTTGTGAGAAGAAAAGAGTGATAAGTGGAAGGAAATTATAGTCTTTTTTTTTTGTTTTGTTTTTTGTTTTGTTTTTTTTCTGTGCTTTTTTGTTTTGTTTTTGTTTTTGTTTTGTTTTTGTTTTTTGTTTTTTGTTTTTTTTTTGTCTTTTCTACTTTGAATGTGTTTTGGGGAACAAAACTTGAAGCATCAAAACCTTGTTAAAATAATGGTATGATCCTTTCTTTACCAAAAAGATATGTACATTACGGGTAAAATTATAGTAATATAATTTACACCCTATTTATTTTATTTTCAATGAAGATCAATACATTTTTTTTCCTCCCAACTCTACAAACAATATGAAACTAAATCACCTTCTTTTTCCGTCACTCTTATTTTCTTTCTCTTCTATATTATTCATCCATTCGATTTTTCCTTCCTTCTTACCAAACATAGGCTCAATCTGATCATATTATTCACGTTCTCAGATTTTAGATACATGAAATCTGTGCACAACGCCACCCATCTTCCATTCGAGGAAGAATACGACTACATAGTGATCGGAGGGGGCACGGCAGGCTGCCCATTGGCCGCAACCTTGTCACAAAAGTACTCGGTGCTTGTCCTTGAAAGAGGCAATGTTCCTAAAGCACAACCAAATACACTAAATGTAAGTGGCTTTTTCTCTATTCTTAATCAACCAGACAATAGTACTACACCCGCACAAAGGTTCAAGTCCGAGGAGGGTGTCACAACCTACCGAGGTAGAGTCCTAGGAGGTTCCAGCATGATTAACGCCGGTTTCTATACGAGAGCGGAGAATGTGTTCTTTCGAAAATCCGGCGTTGAATGGGACATGGATTTAGTTGAGAAGGCGGATCATTGGGTTGAAGAGACTATAGTGTCCCGTCCGAGAGAGTTAGCGGTTTGGCAATCGGCTTTGAGAGGAGCTATGTTGGAGGCCGGCGTGGTTCCAAACAATGGCTTTACTCTGAATCACAAGCTTGGAACAAAGGTTTCGGGTTCGATTTTCGATCAAATGGGGAAGAGACATGGAGCTGTGGAGCTGCTTAATCGAGCAAATTTTAGGAACTTGAAAATTGGTGTTCATGCCACCGTGGATAGAATCATCTTCTCCACCAAAGCATCAAGTACGTTTCTAAGCTTGAATATCTTATATCTTTTTCCTCTTTGAAAAATTATGCCCTCCCCCTTGGTTGCTATTATGTTATAAATATTGTCATATTTCTTCGGGTATATATAATTTACTTTTCGTTATCTTTTAAAGCTTAATATTGGTTTTAATGTTTTTCATGTACTTCGGCACTATAAATTTGCACCATCCAATATCAATGTGCATAGCAATTGTATATTTCACCAGAAAAAAAAAAGTGACAAGAATACGTATATTAACATATTTTTTTGCGTACCTAATGTTTTTTTAAGTGTTATCATTAATTAACTTTTCCAATAAAGTTTTAAGCTTTGAAACTTATAAGAAAAAATGAATATTCAAAAATTAAAATATGACAATATTGCAACCATAAAGTTAAAAGAGGCCACCTGAAATATGTCAGATATTTGGCATTAAACAAAACATTCGGAGAATGATCATTTTTGACCAAATGTCAGATATTTGGCATTTCCTGGAACTTTTAGAATTTCTTTTTATTTCTTCTAAAACTTTTGTAAGAAAAGTCAATAATCTTCCAGAAAGTGCTGTAAAAAATTTACTAAAAAATTTAGACCAAAGAAACTTGTACTTAAAAAAAGCCATTAAAATAGTTTACATTAGTTAATGCTAAACGACACATCTACATAATGTAAATAATTCATGCAACCGCTAAATATTATAACAAGCAAAATATTATATATGCTAATATAATGTTTTAGTTGTGTTTTTTCAACAACTTATATATAATTAAAGCTGTGTTTTTTTTTTTTTTTTTTTTTTTTTGCCCTCCTGCTCTGATGATCAATCTCATTTTAACGCATATAGAACCCTCAGCTATTGGAGTCATCTACACTGATTCTAATGAGAAGTCTCATCGGGTATTTGTACGTCGAAAAGGAGAGGTTATTTTGAGTGCCGGTGCAATTGGGAGCCCTCAACTTCTACTACTTAGCGGAGTTGGCCCACATTCCTACCTCTCTTCCCTGCATATTCCGATCGTCCAATCTCAACCTAACGTCGGAAAATTCATGTTCGACAATCCTCGTAATGCTGTCACTCTCAAATTTCCATTTCCAGTCGAGATTTCTCCTGTACAGACGGTAGGAATTACAAACAATTATTACATACAAGGTGTTTCTTCTCTACAAAACTCTTCTTCTCCTGCAAATTGGAGTGTGGGAACCATTGCGGAAAAAGTACCGGGACCCTTGTCAAGAGGATCCCTCCGGTTAAATTCCTCTACCGACGTAAAAGTAAGTCCGCGTGTCCGATTTAACTACTTTGCTAATCCAGTTGACCTCTCAAAATGCGTTAGTGGAATGAGGAAGATTGGTGAGATGCTGAACACGAAAACCATGGATCAGTTCAAGTTCGAGGATTCTAATGGTTCGAGAAGGTTTTCCTTCTCCGGCGCGTCTTTGCCGAGTAACTACAAGTCCAATGATTCCTCAGTGGAAGCCTTTTGTCGAAGCACAGTGGGGACGATACATCATTATCACGGCGGGTGCCTAGTAGGGAAGGTGGTTAATGGTAATTTTCGGGTCAAGGGTATTGATTCACTCCGTGTCGTGGATGGATCTACTTTCACTACCACACCCGGAACAAATCCTCAGGCCACCGTAATGATGTTAGGCCGGTAAGTTACTATCATTTTCTTCAAAAAAAAAAAAAAAAAAAAAAAAAAAATCATGATGCATAATCATCTAATTTGCTTAAAAAGTAAATTTAACGCTTTAAGTGAAAGTGATTCGTACAAATTGAAAATATGGACCATAAGTAAAGGTACTAATAATATGACTTTTTAGCGCATTGTTGATTCTAAATACAATTGGTTAAAGTCAGCTATGTGGTGAGAAAAGTGCATGCGTGTGTTGTCCCACATGAAAAGTGGATGAGAATGTGAAGTGATTTTATACATAGACGGACTCAAGACCTAATAGGTTAACCTTTTGGGTCAAGTTGGGCTCCTGAAGTGTGTTGGGCTCCCCAACAAGTGGTATCAGAGCCGATGGTTCGTATGGATCAAGCGATCACACTCGGTTATAGTTTCCATGTTACCTCCCGTGGAGAGTTGGTGTTCTCGCAGGTGCGCCAATGGTGGAGCATTTGGTGGACTCGTATGGTTTCGGCTCTCTTTCCCATGCTTGAGTTGGCTCCCGTTTGGAGTGTGATGCTTAGATTTGCCGTCTATTTGAAATTTTAATTTGAGGAGGAGCTCGGTGAACACACACGAGGGAGAGATTGTTGAAAAAAGTGCATGTGTGTGTTGTCGCACATGAAAAGTAGATGAGAATGTGAAGTGGTTTATATACGTAGATGAACCCAATACCGAATAAGTTAACCTTTTGGGTCAAGTTGGGCTCCTAAAGTGTATTGGATCAGTTTTGCATGTGGTGTCTCCACAACACTATGCAACCAGTTTAGGGACTTAGTGTGCGCTTTATGTCTAAGATGACGCATAGGTAAAATGAAAATATAAGCATTCGGTTCCAGCATCCTCGTGATTCTTAGCTTTTTTTTAATCTCAAGTACCGTAAATTTGTAACTTATTTCCCAAGTTTTTTCCTAACCCTTTTGGTTTAAATTTCCTTTACTTGTTTGTTTTGCTAAGGTATGTTGGTCTTAAGATGCTGTGGGAAAGAAGAGAAGGGAAGTAGGACAGTACGTTGTACCAGCATGGTGTAGGAGAAGAATTTCTCCTGCGTATACCTAAATAAATTAAAAAGAGGGTTCTTGGAATTAGCATGCTTCATATATTTGTTTAATTTATGCAAAACTCTATGTTGGGATTTCGGTTTTGATATTTGCCTTTTCGGATTTGATTATTCATTTTAGTGTTGGCATTATTTTGGGCATGTTTTGTTGATTGATCTAATTGAAGATTAAATGGACGCTGATATGGTCATTCTGGGAAGGTTTTGCTTATAAGGAAACTATTTAATTGATTTGATTCCTTGAAAGTCAACTTTGAGTCATATTTGGTAGATTGAAAATTGATAAGTTATCTAATTTGAAGAAGAGTTTTTGATGGGATATTTGGATCTTCTATACATGTTTCTGAGGAATATGTCTAGGGTTGTCTGCTTTTATATTAGAAGATTTCAAGAATCAGCGTAGTTAACTTTCAGATCATTTAGGTATACACACATATATGCATATCTAGAATAAAAATGGAAATCAACATTATTGTCTAAAGAACATTTAGTCAAGAATGCAAATCAATAAATCGCTGCAAATCTTTTTGGACCGTTCTAATGGCATAAGTCTAATGATCATAAAGGAAACCTTCAGGGGTGCTATATCTGAAGAGGAAAGTATTCAAAGTTCTTTAACGATATTGATAAGTGTTTTGCTAAGAAACGAAAAGTCTGAAACAAGTAGGCCTTTGAGCAGCCTAAAGGCACTAAAGTTAGAGCTTTCTGAGGACTCGCTCGTGCATTCGGTTTTTAATTTTCTTCCTGTACAATATGGTCATATTAAAGTGAGTTACAACCCCCAAATGGATAAATGGACTCTTAATGAACTCATTTTTACGGTATGCAAGAAGATGAAAAGTTTAAGCGAGAAAGGGCGTAAAGTGCTAACTTAGCAACTACCCCTTAGAACAAGAAATAGAAAAGGGAAAAGGAAGCTGCAAATGGGACACCACAGCATAAAGCGCGAAGAAAGAGGATAAATTTTTTACCTATTCATTATGCAAAAGGAGCTGGACACATGAAGAAAGAATATTCCAAGTACGCCAATCGGCGTGTAAAGAAAGATATATTTCTCACTTCACTTTGTTTTAAATTAATTTAACGTCTATGGAGCCGACCATCATTGATGCTGAATGATTGATTTATGTAGGCGATGGCAAAACAATTGCAGTTGAGGCTATAAGGACTTTTTAGGTTATCATTAAAGACTGGTTATTATTATTATTTTTAAATTTGAATTTGAAAGAGACTTATGTAGAACTATTGTCTAGACAGAATTTGGTTTCGATTTCTACTTTGGACATATTTGGTTACTTTTGTTCATTTGGAAATCATAAATTTAGTCTTTTTCAAGATTCGGATCTTATTGGTACCAGTTCTTTATTTTTGGTTGCTAACCTATGTTTGATTTATGAGAAGTCATAATCTCTGGACGTATTTAAGGCCTTCAAAGCTGAAGTTGAAATCAAGTTGGCAAGAAGATTAAAGTCGTTAAATCTGACATTGTGGTAAGTACTATGGTAGATATGACAGATTAGGTAAACAACGTCCAAACCTTTAGTTAAGTTCCAAGAGGATGCGGGATCGTCCCATAACACATAATACTAGGAAAACCTACCATGAATGGTGTTGTTGAAAGACGAAGTAGGATGCTTAAGGACTTGGTGAGAAATATAATTAGTCACTATTCTTTACCATAATCCTGTGGGTAAAGCACTAAAGACTGCAACATATATCCTTAACAGGGTGCCAAACAAAGCGGTAGCTAAAACCCCTTGTAAACTGAGGACAAGCATGTACACATTCAGGCTTGTCCAGCTGAGGCAAGGCCTTACAGATCAAATGAAGGGAAAATGGACTCAAGAATCATAAGCTGCTACTTTATTGGTTGCTTTAAATGGTCAAAGGGTTAGCAATTTTGGTCCCACGATTAGGTCCATTTTCAAGACGGGAAATGCAAGACTCTTTGAGGATGTTCAGTTTAAGGGGGGAGACATAAAGTAAGAGATATTGTCTTTGAAGAGGAATTCGTTTCTCTTCTTTTTAGTTGCTAGTGATAATGATCGGGTTTCAATACCTCACATTATTCAAGATGCATATCCAGATTAAGACAATTATGAGGAACTCTATGTCCCAAATCAAGTAGTTGCTTCTGATGAGTAAACACAATAACCTCAAGAGTAAGTGCTATTAAGAAAATCTCATAGAGAAAAGAGAAGTGCGATTCTAATTGTCTATGTCGTCTTTCTCTATGAACATAAGGTTAATATAAGTATGATGGAAAATGATCACATCAACTTTCATCAAACCATGAAGAGTTCTAATTCTCAAAAGTTGATTGATACCATAAAAAAAGATGAAATCCATGAAGGACAATGACGTTTGGATCTTGTCAAATTACCTGTAGCTATGAAATCTATTAGTTACAAATGGATATTTAAGGCCAAGAAAATTCAAAAGGCAATGTCGAGAGATATAAGGCACATCTAGTCGCTAAGGGATTCACTCAAGAAAGAACGCATTGATTATAAAGAGACTTTCTCTTTGATTTCAATGAAAGACTCTTTCAGGATTGTTATTGTGACGACCCTTAACTTTCGGTCATCATTTCTATGTTCACACTTAGCATTTTCTATCTCCTACTACTTTCTAATTATAACTTCTTAAAAGCTCAGACTAATTTTTTTTTCTTTCAATAGTAAATTTGATTCTAATAATCTTTGGCAGAATAAAACTTCATTAAGTGATTTTTATTAAACTCGAATATTAGAAATTACTATCTTGAAAACATTTTCAACTCTTCTTTAAAAACCTTTAACTTGTCCTCCTTACTCATGGTCATGTATTTAACCAATCATTCGCATACCATTAACATTCACATGCCTTTAATGCAATAACATTTTTGCTATGCATGACATTAATGCTATAGCATTTAGAACATTAAACATACCTTGTGACTTGAGGTTGCTATGCATAACGTCAATGTCTCGTATACTTTACTTTCATTACATAAATCGTCTGCATTCATAAACAATATTTACTTTATACACATAAGGCTTAGCAGCGTTTTCAAAACACGTGATACATCCACTACCCACTTGCACACATCTCACTGCTTTATACTTTTCCGAACGCCCAGCAAAGAAGTTTAGGGAGCCGGTGCCTTACTCGAGCTTCCTACAACACGAACAAACCTAATGAGTTTTCGCTCAACAAGTAACAATAGATCATAATAATTACCAAACAGTAATGCATACCCATATTTGCATTCATATCATACGTCCTAGCACACTTCCTAAACATTCAAAGTGTTAATCATATTATGATTTCTTTTCTTTCGTGTGATGCTCTCTTTTCATTTGTTTCATACTTTTTGACATCTTTCGTTTTTATCGTTCATTTTTCATAGCTTTTTCTTCTTATGGGCCCCATCCCATTGTACCGTTGCGCACATAACCAGTGAGGAGTGAGGTAGCTAACCAAAACTAACTCACTCACGGTTTCATTTCATAATCATAATAACCTTTCCTTCCAAAGGCCGCTACAAACAGTATTATTAACTTCATATCGTTTGCCATCTTTGTTTACTCATTCTCTTACTGGCATCATTTCATATTGTGATAGTAATTTTAATCTTTTCATCATACTGTCATATTTTCATATTATGACAGTAATATTAGCCTTATTGGCACATCTTTGAGCATTCTCACCAATTTCCTATGAAATTGGACTTTATTCAAATGTTTGACTTTTGTTGACTTTGACTTTCGCTTTGTCTCAGATTAAAATTCTACTGCTAATACAAGTCCATAAACACATTCAAAGCAACAAACAAGTTTCAAGAAACATCTTTCACTTAGTGACGTACAATGAAATCATCATATGCACAATTTTGTGCAACACAAGGAAATAGTCTTGTTCGTGGTATAGACATAGAAAAACTACTATAGTTACCTTGCTTCCTTGATCGCCTATGGGTCCTATCATATAAATTTCCGATCATTAGATTTACAATCTAAGATTAGTTATTGAAACACAATTTGATCCGAATTCGTGGTTTCATAAATATTATTTTCTTAAAGTACGTACGCCGTTTCTAAAATCCTTAAAGAGATCTACGATTTCATGCTCGGTATCCGGGCCGAAACATCACCTATATCATCAATGTGCACCAAACCCGTGCGCTTTTTTTTTTATACCTTAAATCACATTTTAGACCTATTTCAGAAATCAGCCCGAAATTGAGGTCTAGGGTCGTTTTTGAGAAAAATGCTACTCTACAAAAGTTGTTCGGAACGAAATTTCCTTCAACTTTGTGTTGGTCACTTTTTGAAACTAAGCTTTTATCTTAGTTTTCCAGCCTAAACCAGCGCCGGATTCAATTTTCGGGTCAATAGCCTAGTTTTTAGTTTTGATCCGAAACTGGGAATTTTCATCGTTTTAGATTTCTATACATCTCCGATCATCGAATCAACTTACTTTTCACATCTTAATCATCCTATTCCTTATGAAAACCAGTTCTAATTCAAACTCTCAAACTAAATTTCGGCAGAGTTCTGCCTAATTTCTTGCGTTTTTCGAGCTAACCATAGCTCGTTTTATCCGTTGTTTCAACCTTTAAACACAAACCACACCCTTTTTCATTCAATTTTATCATCAACAACATCACAATTCTAGGGTTTCATCCAAATTTTCAAAATAATTCTCCATAACTAAAAATTGCTTGAAACAAAATCTAATAACTTAGAATTCATCCTTACATCACTAGATTTTCAAGTCCATAACTAGCACAAGCTTAATCATCATCTTAAGAAATTTTTTTTCATGCTTTTCCCCATACTTAAACGTGCAGCCAAGGTAGAAAAAGGTGAGAAGAAAACCGGAATTTACCATAGGGAATGAAGAGAAATCCTTAGTGAAGCGAACTAGTGGTGTAGTTTCGTCATTTTCGATTAAAAACTCATTTTTCTCACTTTGGGTCAATTTTTTTCCGTTCTCCTCACTTTGGATGCTGCTCTCTGGTTCTTGGCATGAAAAATGAGTATTTGGTTGTATTTTTATCTCTTAAAAACCGGACTAAAATGTAATTTTGGCACTTTCTAAGAACCTTTTTGAAAATTTCACTAAAAAATATATTGCTTTCCTTCTTCAC